AAGAATCTAAAACTCGCTATATCTGACATAAACTGTTAATTAATTGCCCTTTTTGCTATCAAAAACAATAAAAAATAAACAACATAAAAAGAAGATATTGTCAAATCATCGTAATACATCACACATAATGTTTGTTTCACTTTCATCAGATCTTTATCAGCCATCAGATATTTATGGAGTGTCTATGGAAGAAATCTGTTAGAATTAATAAATAATAAAGCTAATATCTTGTTAAAAAATAAATCAAGATGTTCATCATAAAGTTGCCCATAATTTACTGTGCAATAAAGCAAAAACTAGAAAAGCAGTAAGCAGACAGGATTACATCCCATTATTCAGAATAGCTAGTTACTCATAAAGTACGTGTTTTTGTTTTGCTTTGTTTCACAATGAAATAAATGTTTTGACAACTCCAACTAGTAGGCATCTTTTTGTCAACCTTGTATGATCATAAATAATTAGATACATGCAGCAATTCATGCTAAGAGATTTTTCTTTTCCCCTGAGTGGAGTCCAAGATGTTATATTTGCTAATACAGCTTTTAAATGTATACTCTCTATGTTCCAAACAGACTGATTTTATTTTGTACTATTTTATCAGGTTTTAAAATTAGGATTATGCAAACTTTTAAAGACTAATTGAAAAATTATTTCTATTTCTATTTCCAAATAACATACTGAATTTCCTGACATTATCCAAATGATACAAATTCTATTCCTGATCAAACATTCTTGGAAGAAGAGAAACATAATGTTTAAACTTTTTCCGGTATATAAAGATAAAGGAAATAGCTATATTCAAAGTTGTTGAGCAACTCTTTCTGTAGTAGAAAACTGGTAAAAAGATTAAAGTATTTCACTGTAACCAGCAGGCCTGAGCTCTGGTTAACTTTAGATTTTTTTCTTCTTTGATTCAAAAATATAATTGCTCTTTTTCTAGATTATTGAAGCTTTGTTTCAATAATAAAGATGTTCTGGGAATAATAGAGTTAGTTCTCTGTCCCAAACTCGATGTTTTCAAACCTCGAGTTTGAAAATTGCAAAACTGATGTGATTGAATATACTGAACATTGTGATCAGTTGCAAAACTGATGTGATTGAATATACTAAACATCGTGAGTCACACAGGTAGGGGAGAATATCATCATTTGATCCAAAATAATCACCTTGTGAACACATATTATCCATGAGATGCTGAGAAAGAAATAGTAACTTGGATAATGGCCAGATCTTACATTGTTTTTTATTTTATTTCGGATTTTGGACTTCAAGAAGTACATTGTCAAATTACTTTGTAAATGCACTTGATTCACTTTTTTTGACCTGAATGAAGTATAAGTTTTGAAGAATTTCTTTTGTTTCAAAATTTTTCTCATATTTAAGTATGTTAAATGAGTTCTTATAAACAGCATCTATTGGATATTTTAAAAATCTATTCTGTCGACATCTATCATTTCACTGGTGTATTGAGATTATTTGTATTTAAGGTAATGATCAATATGTCAGGACTTACATCAGTTCCAAATATGTTCATGAGTGTCATTTCAAGACATTAATGTGAAATTAAGGGTTGGGAGAAACTGTACTGCCCAATAATAAAATATCCTTCACCTAAACATGCCCCGACATCATACTCTTGGCTGATGTTATGAGATGCATCGGGAAACTAAAATAAACCCACTATTTCATTTATTATAGGGGTGTTCTTTTCTGAATACATTATCTACTATAGTCAACGTCTCCTCTATCAATGGGACATTGAAATTTTATTTTAGGGCCCAGCCTTGCTGGTACAGGCAGTAGCATACTGAACTTGCATACTGAAAGTTGTGTAGCTGACCACAGGGTCAGGTCCTCAGTCTGCCTGACACATGCCGGGGCACTGTAGTGTGATGAGACTCCGTCAACAGCACTTCTCTCTCTCTCTCTCTCTCTCTCTCTGTCTCTGTCTCTGTCTCTTCTCATTCTCACTCATGTGTGCTAATACACACAAACTCTGTCATAAATAAATAAGTTTTCTGAAATTTTATTTTAGGCTTTACAAGAAAGTTTTGTGTCTCCTTTTGTATGGTCAAAATGCTTTTGGAAATAAAAAATTTCATTTTTTGCTTTGACTTCCAGGAAGCTCAACATCAGTTCTTTTTTTATTTTATTATTATTATTATTTAAACATCTGATCACTATACATAATTTGGCTTGTAAAGAGAATTTACCCAACATGGGACCAGCAGTTAGCGTAATGGCTATGTCACTGAACACCCATGTAGCTGACTGTGGTTCGTGTCCTGGACCCAAACTCACGCCAGGACCACGTGCATGCATGCCCAAGGTCCCCAGAGGAGAATGGAAGAGAAGGGACTACAGTGTAGCCATCCCCCCAGGAGATTTCTCGCTTTCTATCTCTCTGTCTCTCTCTGTCTTTCTGGCAAGTGCACGTGCACTACAGCAAAAACCTCTCAAAAAAGAGAGAGAGAGAGAGAGAGAATTCACCCAACATGAAATACATCCCAGACTACTCCAGTTGAAAATACTATATAATCGATAGGTGATAAACCATTTCTGTGTCCCACAAATGTCTTGCCTCTATTTTTTCTCCCTGATTTCCTTCCCAACATCAATTTTTAAATTTAAAATGATAACCTTATAATTTACTAGCCCCTCCCTTTATGTTATGTTATATCATAGCTTTACATACACAAAATAGTCTTATTACATATGTACTCTTATGGGAGTCCTTCGTTCCTTCTTGCAGTGCCACTCTTTCATCTGGAATATTTCCCTTCAGCTGGAAGAACTTGTCTATCCCGATGATGGACATTTGGATTATTTCTAGGTTTTAATTATTGTGAATAAAGTTGCTAAATGAACACTTGTGATCTCTCTTGAGACATGATTTTTTTTTTCCCTTGGGTATATACTGAGGGTGGAATTACTGGATCTTATGATAAATAATTGTATGTTTAATATATATGTTTAATATATAAGAAAGTACCAGGGCCAGCAGGTGGGCAATCACATGGCTGACTGCAGCTCAAGGTCTGAACCCAGCAACTTGAAAAAACATCAAGAGCATGTGCGTGCACACCCAAAATCACAAGAGGAGAATGGAGGACAAGGGATTGTGGCGTGGCCATCTCTACTAGGGTGTAATTTCTCACATTCCTTGTCTCTCTGTCTCTCTCTGGCGAGTAGACACACCCTATAGCAAAAAACCTAAATATGTGTGTGTATGTGTGTGTGTATACATATTACACATTATATACATATTTGTCTTTCATATATATGTAATATATATATATACTTTGATATATATGAATTTATGACATATATTTGAAAGTATCAAAATATTTTCCAGAGTTGTTCCATTTTATATTCCCACTAGAAATGCATGAGAATCATAATTGTATCATATACTTACTAACTCGCTTTCACTATCCTTACTAACTTGTCTTTTAAATTTTAGCTATTCTAGTGAGTAGTGATTTTGATTTATATTTTACTAATAACTAATAAAGCTGAAAAACTTTTCCTGTATTTTAACCATTTCAATATATTCTTTTGTGAAATGTATATTGAAATACATTGTCCATTTTTATTGTATTGTTTATCTTATCACTGAATTGTAAAAGATTTTCATATATTCTGGGTTTAAGTCCTTTGTCAGATATATTATGACTATTTCAACCTAGAACTTGTCTTTTACTTCCATATAGTATGTTTAGGAGAGTAGAGTTTTTCATTAACTTTTGGAAAAAAATTTTGCTAGATGTAGAGTGATATATTGGCAGATTTTTTTTCCTTTCCACATATTAAAGATGTTGTTCTATTTTTTTCACTTCATAGCTTCTGCTAAGAAGTCAACCACAATTCTCTATGTTGTTCTGAAGGTGTCATTTGACTCTTTAGCCTGTAAGATTTAAACTATTTGTCTTTGTTTGATTTCAGTAAATTGACTATAATGTGTCAAGAATTTTATTGTTGTTGTTATCCTGTTTGTGGTTTGCTGACCTTGTATCTGGGGGTTGATATTTTTCACAAACTTAGGAAAATTTCCAGTCAGTATATATCTTTATTATTGCTTCTGCCCCATTTTCTCTCTTCTCTCCTTCTGAGTTTCCAATTATGTACATTTTACAGTTGACAATGGCCTGAGTGTCACATTGTGTTCCTGCTTCATATTTTTTCTTTTCTCTCTCTCTTTTTTTAAATTTAGATCATTTCCTTTAAGCTATTTTCAAGTTCATTAATTTTTTCTGCTGTTTCCAGAGTACTATTAAAATCCTAATTTCAGATATTAAATTACTTAGTTCTAGAGTATCTGTTTGGTTCCTTTTTTGAAAACTTCATCTCTCAGTTGAAATTCTCTCTTTCCATCCATTTCTCTACACCTCTTTAACATATCTATGATTATTATTTTACCTATTTTTTTTTTGAGAGGTTTTGCTATAGGGCACATGTGCTCTCCAGAAAGACAGAAAGACAGAGACAGAAAGCGAGAAATCACCTCCCCCCCCCCAGGGTGGATGGCCATACCACAATCCCTTCTCCTTCGTCCTCCTCTCGGGATCTTGGGCATGCACGCACATGTGCCTGGCATAAGTTTAAGCCACCAGGTCCGGGACTAGAACCACTATTGACTACATAGGAGTCCAGCAACATAGCCATTACACCAACTGCTGGTCCCAATGATCATTATTTTAAATACTTGTTTGCTGTTTTCAATATTTGAGGCATTGTGAGTTTGTTCCTATTGGCTACTTTTTCTCTTAATGGTAGATTGCATTTTCCCGCTCCTCTTCATATGTCATATTTTTACAATATGCCAGCAACTCACATAAAAGAGACTGTAGTTAATCTTAAGGCATCCCCTTTTCATTGTCAGATAGGTTGATTAAGGGACTGATCATTTTGATTCAATCAGGAATTGAAATGGATTATAACAAGGTAAATTAGTTTTAGTCCACCTATGATTTCAATTGTCTTGAGGGTAGATGTGTGTTTAATGTTTAGTGATGGCTTCTATCTTTAGCAAACCTTTTTCTTCTAGGCACTGTGAAACTTTGGATGAATTCTCTTTCCATTCCAAGGCCAGTTGCCAGGTTCTCTTATTCCAGTCCCCAGCAAAGTTCCTAGAAAGGAAAACTGGTGGACAGAGAAAATTGGTTCCTAGACTCAGCCCACTTTGTTAACCATATTATCTTTTTTTTAAAAATCATGTAATTTTACTTATTATTATTATCATTAATTTTTATTTGCAATAAGGCATGTGCGCTCACCAGAGAGAGAGAGAGAGAGAGAGAAAGCTGCCAGATCTAGGACACAAACCACAGTCGGTCAAGTGGGAGTCCAACACCCTAACCACGATGCCACCTGTGGCCCCCAACTGTATATCTTAATATGGCTTATTAATATTAACTTTCCCCTAGCTCTTATCCCCTAATATATTTCCCAGGGCCCAAATTTCTTTTCTGTTTTATTTCTTTTTTTACATTTATTTAAGTTACTTCAAATGTTTGTCAATTAAAACAGGGGCTACATCTATAAATAAATGAAATTAATCTGAAGTTACTGCTTTAATTGTATAACAGCAATGTGTGCCTTTAAAGTTTCCTTTAAGATCTTCAATCTTCCCTAAGATATTACAATTAAAGATAAGTTTTTTGGGGACCAACATATGGCATAATGGTTACATCACTGGACTCCCAAGGAGTCAACCATGGTTCAAGTCCAGGACATGGCAGTTTAGAATTCACACCAGGGATTTGTGTGCATGCCCACAATCCCAAGAGGAGAATGGAGGAGAAGGGATTATGGTATGGCCATCCCCACTGGGGGGGAGGAGGAAGATTTCTTGCTTTCTGTCTCTCTGGTGACCACATATACACCCTATACCAAAAATCTCTCTCTCCAAAATAAATAAATAAATAAATAAAGATAATTTTTTCAAGAGTCCTACAAAAACCAACACACAATTTATTGGTAGACTCTATGGTGGATGAGCAGTTGTTGCCTACTGAACTGAATTCACTTTTCTGAGCCAATCTCTTTAGTAAGAAAAATGAAGGAAATAAAATGGGACGTTTAAAAACTAATAGAAATCATGAATATAATAACTACTGACAAAAGGCAATTAAAGAACCCTTTAAACAAGTTTAATACAAATAAATGAGAATGTTCAAAAGATAGGCACCCAAAGGAAAGGAAGACATTTGTTAAGTTTAATGACTGCATTACTCCTAATTATTTTCCCTGAATCAAAGCAAAAAATTTCAACTTATAAAAAGTATTATAAAAATGATCTCTGAGTTTATCAACAAATAACGATGAGTAAGTATTGCTTCCTGTGGGTGCCTAATTAAGCCTCCTTTTACCATCATATAGTCCCGTAATGTATCCAGAGTCATAGGTCTATGTGGAGAAAATGGTGAAATGGCGAAAAGTCAGAAGAGAATGAATATTCTTTTTGATTGATTAAGGAGGCTTGTAAAGGGGACAAGGGCTACTAATTAAAACTGCAAAATCCACATCTTTAGGACACTTCTTTATAATCATTGTATGTTTCTATGTTTTTCCAGAAATATACAGTCTGATGATACTTAGAAAATTTTTAAAGATCACCTTCTAGGGGAAAAAACTACTCTAAAATCCAGTGGGATTCATCTAAGGACAAAGAGAGTGTGCCACGTATTTCTGGATATATCCAAGTATTCCTTACTCTGTTCACATAAAATATTTGCCAGACTTTCATTTCCTCATATGGAAAACTGGATTTTTCAGGGAGAAGTGGGAAATATAGGCCAGAGGTCTTGAAGAAAGTCTTCATGAGGAATTTCATGTTCCCTGATCTTTTTGCCTGCTTAGAATTCAGTCTCGGTCACAGTTATCTGTTTCTTTTGCCAATAATGTTTTAGCACTCATCTGCCTTTATTGACAGGGAATCCAGTATGTTCCTCTATAGGCTTCTATTTAGTTTTCTGTGGAAAACAGACTTATTTGGAAGTGTAGGTGAATCAGATGAGTCCCTTTGCCACATAAAAACCGTGACATGGTCAAACACCAATCCTGCACAATCAGATACCTATCTTGCAGTCAGACTATGCAGGATGTAAAGATGAGCAAAACACCAAGATCACAGACTTTTTTTAGAGAGAGAGAGAGATTTTTGCTATAAAGTACATGCACTTACCAGAGAGACAGAGACAAAGAGACAGAAAGCGAGAAATCTTTCCCCCAGTAGGTAAGGCTATGCCACGATCCTCTCTCCTCCATTCTCTTCTCAGGATCTTGGGCACGCATGCACACGTGCCTGGCATGAGTTTTAAGTTGCCGGGTCCAGGACTCAAACCGCAGTTGACTACATGGGAGTTCAACAACATAACCATAAGCCATCTGCTGGTCCCATGGGCAATCTTGATTCATGGTGAGTGACACCTATGAATCCTATGGTGGATTATTCCAATCTATGAGGCAGGTTTTTAGTAATGTTGCACCTCAAAGGGTTTGTGTCTATGAGTCATTCTAGAATATGATTCTCTCCCAAGTTCAATGGTCCCTATGCCAAACATGTACTTTCTTCCCTGCTACAAGTTCTTACCAAAAAGCAAGAAATTTGCCTTTGGTGTTTTCACTTCTAGCAAATTATCTTCTGTAGATTGTCTTTGTATATCTTCTCCCTGGTCCGTTTCTTCTGTTCTCCTGGCATCTGGTGCTGGTCAGTGTGTGTGTGTGTGTGTGTATAATTTCCAGGTCTGACTCTCCAGTCCAGTTCACTGCTCTCAGCTTCAGGTGCGTACAACTAATCCTTTGAGATACCTCTACCCGGATGTCTCACAGGCATCTCAAACTTAGGGCCAATAAGGTCATTGTCTCCCCACCCCACCTAATTCCCAGTTCCATACCTGCCCTTGCACTTGTATTTCTTACCAGTCCAGGGGTACCACAGTCCAGGGTACCACAGCCCACTCATGACCTGAGCCAGAAGCCTAAGGGTCATGCTTGATTATAGTAGTCCCCTGGCCCATTCTCCATTTCCTGAGTATGTCTCAAACCACCTCCTCATCACCAGACTACTGCATTACCTTTTCCTAAGGCTACCATCATCTTGCTTGGGTTATTCCAATAGTTTCTTTTTAAAAAAATGTATTTATTGTAATTATTATTTTTTAATCTATTATATAGCACATGCACTCACCAGAGAGACAGAAAGAGATGGAAAGTGAGAAAGCAAGCTGCCAGGTCTGGGATTTGAACCATAGTCAGCCATGTGGGAGTCTGGTACCTTAACTACTATGCCATCCACCAGCCCCTTCTGATGGCCTATTAACTAGTTACCAAATAACTTGGTTTGTCTCTCTTTAATTAGTTTCCTCCTACAGTCAGAATGCTCCTTTCAAAAGGAATTTGGACCTCTCCACCACCATCTGCCCACAATCTCTGTAATACCTACAACTTATTCTGAATTCCCTAAGGATCATGTCCAAACAATAACAAGTCTTCAGCAAAGCATTCTGGTCTGGTCCTCTCCTCATTTGTTTTTATTCATATTCTCTCTCTCCATCCTTCCCCCTCTACCACCAGACTTTCTCAGCCATGTTGTAATCCTCTGGCTTTTGTCTCAAGGCCTTTGCATATGTTGTTCCTTCTGCCAAAGCACGTTTCCTGCCACCTAACTTTTACACATTATTCAAAACTCATCGTAAATGTCCCCTCTACTGAGAGGTCCTCTTAGATTAGGTTATATGCCCCTTTTAGAGTCAGGAGTTTCTCTGATCAAGGCACCTGCCCTCCTTTACTAAGTCAGTCAGTATTTGCTGTACACCTAGGAAGCTAAGGAAATACGAGAACTAAGGAAGGCACTAACGGGCACTGAGGAGATACAAGAACAAAACACTGCCTCTTCCTATATGGAAAATACAGTCAAATGGGGAGACCGGTATCACACCGTCACCACAATATTCTGTCAGTTTGTTTTATCCACAAGAATGTCAGCTCCATGAGATAAATAGCATACTCTGGATTTGTTCCTGAGACTGACATAGCAGATGACCACAAACCTGGTAACTTGAACGGAAATCTATTCCTCCACAATTCCAAAGGCCAGAAGTCCAATGGGGCCACACCATCTCTGGAGCCTTCTAGGGAGATTCCGTCCTTGCCTCCTCCAGCAGGTGCTATGACAATCCTTGACTGTGTCTGTTCACTCCAATCTCTACCTCCCTAGTCATGCTTCTTCTTCTTCTCCTCCTCTCCTTCTCCTTCTTAGGTTTTTGCCATAGGGCGTGTGCACTCACTGGAGACAGAGAGAGACAGTGAGAAGGAAAGCGAGAAATCATCCCCAGGGGGAAGGGCCATGCCACAATCCCTTCTTCTCCATTCTCCTCCTGGGATTTTGGGCACACACATACAGGTGCCTGGCATGATTTTCAAACTGCCAAGTCCAGCACTCGAACTGCACTGTGGAAGTCTAGCACCTTAACCACCACGCCACCTGTGGGCCCCTCTTCTGTCTTTTAAGACTCTCTCTGCTTTATTTACTGAAGGACATTTGTCATTGGTTTTCGGACCTGCTGGATAAGTGCCTGCTTTCAAAATCCTGAATCCCATCTTTCCACTCTTTTACCATATAAAGTAGTAACCACAGGTTCCAGGGAAATAGGATGTGGACATGTCTTTCTCAGGGCCACCAACCTGCCCACTACGTCAGCCTTGTTCACTGTGTACACATAGTGCCTAGCTCATACTTGGCACCTGATTAATATTCGTTAAACAAAACTATGAGTCTACCCATCTCCTTAGGCTAGCAGATCCTCAATCCAGCTCCTTGTCCGCTGTTGCTTTTTTTCCCCTGACATTGAAACCCACTTGGATTTGTCTCTGTTTACTCACAGCCATGCTGCTGATCTCCTCAACCAAATAAAAATAAAAATAAAATAAATGCACATAAAGCCGGATGAAAGTGACCTAGAGATCAGTGAAAGACATTGCCTAGTAGTAACGTGTTCACGGGAAAGTGTTCTCTCGAGCCAATGGTGGCGTGATAGTTAAGCTAGCTGGATCCCACATGGCCAACTGCACAGTTTGAGACCTAGACCCAGCATCCTGAAAAACGTGCTGGGCACATGTGCATGTGTACCAAAAATCCC